AAAGATATTTTGCTTTATTTAATGAGCATTTTTAATGTAAATTTCTTCAAAAGAATTTTGTGTACTAACACACAATTGTAAAGGTCAGCCTTTGTTTCATTACTTCATTTGTTGCAACCAGTTTTGTCATCAAAGAAAGTATTTCTTACAGCTGCATTCATCTTTCTTTGCCCTCAAGCCTTTGGCTCCCAAGCATTGTGGCTGCCTGTGTGCACGGGCAGTTCAGTGCACATCCCAGCTCTGGTTGTCCAAATTCAGCCTAGAATTGGAGACAAGTGGGTGCGGCACTTTTGTCCCCAAGCATCCTGGGCTGAAGCGAATTGGTGGCTTTGCATGTGCAGTGTTGGCTGTAATGTGTCTGTCTCAGAGGCCAGCCATTTGTTCTGACAGACATCAGGCCAGATGCTACCCCAAACACAGGCACTGTGACAGCCTGGGCCTCTCTCCAAGCCTTGCTTCCCACAAACTGTAGGGAGCTTCCTGCCAACACCAAGCCAGTTCTGTCTTCAGCTCTCTCAGGGAGCACCCTGAGCACCAGCAGTAACTGGAGAAGTGCAGATGGATGGGTCAGAGCCCCTTCACAGGCTCCCAGGGGATGGTGATGGGCAGCACACCAGGCTGCAGCAGGCTCATGCTCAGGCTCTGTGGTGAGGACACTGCCTGCTGGGAGCAGGTCTGGGAGCAAACCCAGGACTGGCTCCATGGTGAGGACACTGCCTGCTGGCAGCATGTCCTGCAGCAAACCCAGGACTGGCTCCATGGTGAGGACACTGCCTGCTGGGAGCAGGTCTGGGAGCAAACCCAGGACTGGCTCCATGGTGAGGACACTGCCTGCTGGGAGCAGGTCTGGGAGCAAACCCAGGACTGGCTCCATGGTGAGGACACTGCCTGCTGGCAGCAGGTCTGGGAGCAAACCCAGGACTGGCTCCATGGTGAGGACACTGCCTGTTGGCAGCAGATCCTGCAGCAAACCCAGGACTGGCTCCATGGTGAGGACACTGCCTGCTGGGAGCAGGTCCTGCAGCAAACCCAGGACTGGCTCCATGGTGAGGACACTGCCTGCTGGGAGCAGGTCCTGCAGCAAACCCAGGACTGGCTCCATGGTGAGGACACTGCCTGCTGGGAGCAGGTCTGGGAGCAAACCCAGGACTGGCTCCATGGTGAGGACACTGCCTGCTGGCAGCAGGTCCTGCAGCAAACCCAGGACTGGCTCCATGGTGAGGACACTGCCTGCTGGGAGCAGGGCTTGCAGCAAACCCAGCACTGGCAGCTGCAGCAGCCAGGGGACATGGTGGGTGAAGGTCCTGGAGTTGTGTGCCTTCAATGAGGCAGATAAGTAACAGAGAAGGCTGGGGAACAGGGAAGCCTCTACTTGTGAGCAGCTTGCCACCAATAATGACAAACAATCTGGTGCAGAGGGTTGCATTTAGACGGTCTTTAACAGCTCTTCCAACCCAAACCATTCTGTGACTCTGTGAACCGTGCCTTTGGAGAGGAATGCAAGGTTGCCTATGGATCACATCCACTGATTGAGACCTGGGCAGTTTTATAGACTTGGGATCTCCTACTCACCAGAAAGATCAATCAGTAGGCCTCTCATTCCTTTGTCCAGCATGAGTACCAAGCCCTGACTCCTCATAACATTGCTTCACAGCTTGGAGCACCTCATGTTCTTTTGGTCTGATGGTGCCTCTCCTATGCTGTGATTTTGCTTAATTCCATAATTTTGGTTCCTTGGCCATAACATGGTGCAACACTTCACACCGTGGATAAAACACCCTGTGAATTCCAGATAATTTGGCCTGTCTTCACTTTTCTGTAGGGAATTTCAAGGGGTTCTGCTTCATCCACTGAGATTTTGTGCATGGCCACATGCCTCTGTCACAGTGGACAGCAACAACCAGAGCTGCTTTGGAGGTTCCAGCAACTCTTTTCCACCATGAATTTTGCCCCAGGTGAGAGGAGTTAAGGAACCTTCTTTTCAGAGCCATTTTTAGGCACAGAGGCTGGGATTCAATAATTCCTGCTGCATTTCCTTCTGTAGGTCACAGCCCATTCTTCAATGGTCTTGCATGGAAACTCTTGAGACCATGTAGCCTGGGATATTTTTTGTGAAAGACCAAATGGTTGCTAAGAGATAATGAAGGACCACTGATGGCAATATGTGCTTGTGGTGGCCATAGAAAGACCCCTTCCTAAACTAGCAGCAAAAAAACCCAGGAATGGGGTGTCAGTCAGCCATTAAAGGCTTAGCAATACCTGCAATATCAATTCTGTAATGTCTGAGAATGAAAAAGAGAGGGGACAAACAGGCATTGCTATCTGAGAGCAAGCACCTCAGCATGTACACTAGAGGACGCTACAGAACTCACTGTCCTCAGAGATTTGTATTGGATAATTACAGTAATTCAACTTACAAACACAAATTAATGTCTGGACAATTCTTGAGAAATTCTAAACAGCGCTACAAAGACTACAAAATGGACAAGAAAGTCTATTGTCTATTAAGAGTAACTAGGCCTAGGCACGTCTTGACAGAGCAAAAAACTTATTTGAAATTATTCTTAGATGGAAAACATCAGTCTACTAAAAACCAGGACTCCAAGAAACTATATTCTTCTAGATACCTCTACTCGCTTCCACTTGTGAAAGGGCAGGGGAGGATTGTAAAAGATGGCCTAATATCAATTTCTTTATGGCATAAGCCATTAAGTTTCACTCACTCCTTTGTGAACCAAAGGACTTGGGCAGAAATGCCAGGAAGTGCCATCCAATCTGGAGGTGAAGGCATTGAGAGGAGGAAGATCCATCCCATCCATTGCTTTGCTTGTGGTTGATCACCACCACTTATCACTCAGGAGGACAAGCCTTTTTTTTTTTTTGTTCAAATTTATCTTGTTTAAACTCCAGCTATCCATGGCTCTCTTCAGACTGAAGTGAATTTCTGTACTGGGTAAGTACTATATGATTCATGTCTACTTTTTTTTTTGTTCTTTTTGGTATTAAACAGCTAAAGACTTTTTAAGCATCCAAATTCTTCTATAATTCTTTGTGGCCTCTCCAGTTTTTGGTCTATTTAAAAAACATGACCCAGCAGATACAAACTCACCTTATTTCTACTACCTACTCCACTGTGAGCATCCCCAAACAGCACCAGCCCTTTTTGTCCCACATCTATATGAGGCTGTTTTTGAGGTGTCTTGTGACTGCATCTTTTAAACTTTTCTAAGGTTTCTGCTTTCCAGGATTCAGAAATATCCTCTAGGTACATGATTTGCATTTATTAATCCTGGACACTTAATTTTGCACTTGGACAGATTAAGACATAACTTATTTAAGTGGTTCACCTTACAAAGTAATCCAGTCTGTGTGATGTTTCTGCATTATTGTCTTTTCCTCATCATCTCTATGTACTTTTCCAGCAACTTTGTCACAGTCACAAATAAAAATAGGAATGACTCTGTGATGGCTTCTAGACCACAATGGAAGTGTTGGGCCATACCTAAGGTTCCACCTCTTTGAACAATCCAATTGTTAGGTTATTTCTGCCATGTCATGTATTTCTTCAGAACTCTCAGTCCATCAGCTTTTAAGCCATGTAATGTATGATACTGAAAGTAAGGGAGGCTTTAGGTGTGTGTAGTTTGAAGCACCTTACCCAAGTCTGCTCCATCTGCACAATTATATTGTGCTGAAGCTTCTCACCTACTCAAGTAATGAAGTTTGGTGTGTCTGCCAAGATCATTTTTCCCTAAGCCACAGTTACTGGCACTAGTTACATTTCTACCCTTTTATTCCTTATTAAAGAAATCCCATGTTTCTTTTCAATTATTTTAAAAGGACTGACTTGAACATGACAGCCAGCATACTACTCAACTCAGACAAATGGGCACTGGCTGATATCACCCTTCCTTTTGAGATTTATTGATATAAATGAACCAGCTACCTCCTCTGCTGACAAAGGCAGACAGGAGTGCATTTCAAAGCACATAACTCCACATTTCCCTATACTTTTACTTCCCACTAGGCATTTCCTACTGGTTAGTGACCAGAAACACTTTATGAAGTCCTACAGACTTTTAGACTGACAGCTTCTCCTTTGTTGCACTCAATTTTAAGTCTCCAGGATTATCTGGACCTGCAGATTAAACTATCAATAGAAAGACAGCTTATCCCTCATACTTCCTTCATTTTGGGACATACTTTTACAAGGATTCCTTTTCAATGTAACTGTCCTGAATACACTATGGTGAAAGCAGCTACTACAATCATCCAGCAGACCTTTATACCACTGCTAGGAGCAATCCTGTCAATCCTCCTTACTCCTTCCTTTTTAGTCCAATGACTGCAGGTAAATATTGGTGCACTTGCAATATTACTAACTATCAAAAGAGAATATTATGGAACATTAGCTCCTTGGGTAAAATTGCAGTATTTCCTTTTTATAAACAAGTTTCAAATAGAAGGTAGAATACAGAAAAATTATTCCAGAATTTCCATGAGAATATATTAACACAGGACTATTCTGGGAGAAATTAGAACAATCCCCCCTTCACTTTCTTTCCTACCCAACCTTCATCACTGTGGTTGCATAGGAAAAACATGAAAAGATAATTTCAGCAGGCTCATGTTTACTGTACAGTGACGTAGCCAGCTCACAATGAACCCTCATCACGAGCTGAGGGGTTTGTCAAGGTCAAAAAATGGTTACTGAAACATGATCAGGTAACTGGATGGTAAAATAACTCTCTTTTATCTATTTCATATGATGAAGAAACAAACACATGTCTACTTAAAGACCTTCAAATCAGTCACCAGAAAGCTGACAAAACTCAAGTTACTCTCTTATAACCTGGAGCTTGGCAATAGAGGAGCTACAGCTTGAGAAATCTGTGAGTGTTACTCAGCACAATGGCGTTTGCTATGCATGTTGCCAGTACCTGGAGAAGGATCTAATTAACACACAAGATAAAAAGGAAGGAACTGTGACTGAAAATGGCTCATTATGAATTATTATCATTTATTGACAAGAAAATTATCAGGAAGATGGATAAAAACATCAGCCATACTTACCTGGAGCTGTAACCCATTTTTCATGACTCAACAAAGTAACTTCTTTTAAGATTACCAAGCTGGAACCTGATCACAACATTCTAATAGCCATTGTGATGAATAAATGTCCAAGTATGAAATTAGCAGCAGGCATCTCCAGATCTAACTCCATGACTGCTACATTCAAGTATGACTTTAAGAGGACACTGAGCAAAAGCCACAGACTTCGTTTGCTTTTGTGAGGAAAAAGATATAGCACAGTACCTACTTCTGAGTGACACCAAAATAAACTCTAGGGAAAAACACAAAGGAACAGTAGATCACAAGTAAAATTAGAGTTGGACTGCAAGGGGTCTATTCACTGAGAAGTGAGAACAACTGAGCTACAAACTTTTATATACAAGCTGTATTCTCTCTCTGCTGTACAAATCTGACACAACCTAACCACCAGTGAAGGTCAGAAATCTATTGCTTACAATGTAGTTTTACTCTTTGCCTACTGAATTCCAGACAGTGCAAGTTACAAAAACATTTCTGCAGGTAAGTTAACCTATGTTGTTCCAGCGTGGTGCCAGCACACCCATGGTACCTGCAGTTCCCAAGTGTGTTCTGCCCTTGGATACCTCTGCTGGCTGTGGGAGCAGAAAGGGCTGTGAATATCAGCTGCAAACACGGCTTCCTTCCTGGCAGCTGCACCCATGGGAGTTACCCTGTTTCTGATCACACCAGGGTGTCTGTGGCCTATTGGAAACCAGAGTGGTTGAGAAAACACTGAGGTAATGCCTTCATCAAGACAAAAATTACACAAAACATTCAAAATATGCTCGTATCCTGCTCCTGAGTGGTGAAGAACTAGGGGATAAATGTGAAACAGTTACATAGAGACAGGATGAATGGCCAGCCAGTCAAGAAGTTAGCAAATAAGTTTGCAAAGAAGACATCCAGCCATTTGCCTTTTAATGGCATTCTACTTTTCTGAAGCTCTTCCCCTGCAATAACATGACAACTGGCTATGTTGAATCTTTGAGTGCAACATGCCCTGCATTCTGGATTTCCATTGCCTAGGTGAACAAGAAATTGAATAAAACATCCTTGGAACCAAAGACCTTAGAGCATATTGTACTGTTCACTGGAATTTTCTATGCATTTTATGTTTGTTGGAAAACTGGCTTAGAAATCATAGAATTGTTCAAGTTAGAAGGTGTTTCTGCAGATTGTCTTCCCCAACCCTCCTGCTCAGAGCAGGGCCACCTACAGGAGGTTGCTTAAGGCTGTGTCCAGTTGGATTTTGAGTATCTTCAAATCCAGAGGCTTCACTATCTCTATGGGAAACATGTTCCACTGTTTCAAAGAAATTCACAGTCTTAAATTCAAACATAAGGACAAAGAAATAAATTTTCCAATTTTTTACTTATTTATACTAGAGTTACCTTACTATTGATTATGAACTAACCACCATCCTTCTCTGTTCTTTCCCTTAGCCTCTTCCATCCTGGCAAAAATATTTACTTAAGACTATTTTACATTAATATCACATGTATGGTCAAGCTCAGAAAACCTTGTGACGGTCAGTATTTTAGGATGCCTTCCTGAAACCCAGTTCTGGGCTGAGTCTACAAAAGTTTTACTATTACCTTAATGGAATTAAATAAAATAAATTTTTGAAGTATTACTGTTCCCCTTCTGTTCTCAGTATCATGGTGTGTTGGGTTTATCCAAGTAGGTCATGGTAGCAGGGGTGCTACAGGGGTGGCTTCTGTGAGAAGCTGCCGGAAGCTTCCTTCATGTGCAGCAGAGCCAATGCCAGCTCCAGGATGGACCCACAGCTGGCCAAGGCTGAGCCCATCAGGAATGGTGGGAACACCTCTGGGATAACTTATTTGAGAAGGCAAAAAAAAAAAAAAAGTTTTTGTGCAGGTGTAACTGCAGGCAGAGAAAAGCAGAGTGGGAACAACTCTGACACCAAGGTCAGTGGAGAGGAAGGGGCAGGAGGTGCTCCAGGCACCAAAGCCAAGGTTCCCCTGCAGCCTGTGGATGACTCAGAGGAGGCAGTGAGTCCATGGGAGGCCCGTGCAGGAACAGGCTCCTGGCAGGGACCTGCAGACCCATGGCATGAGGCTTCCTGGTGGGACTTGTGACCCTTTGGGGGACCCACACTGAAGCAGGCTGTGCCTGAAGGACTGCACCCCATCTCTGGTGTAACCCACCTTGTAGCATGTTGTGCAGAACTGTTGCCTGTGGGATGAACTCATGCAGGAGGTGTTAATTGAGAACTGTCTCCTGCGGGAAGGACTCCTCATCCTGAGCAGTGGGAGGAAAAATCTGTGATTAATTGATCATAACCCCCATTCCCATCTCTCTTCCCTGCTGGGGGAAAAGGAGGTAGAGCTTCAGAAGAAGAAAGAGGTGGGGGGAATGTGGTTTTTAAGATTTATTTTACTTCTCATTATCCTGGCCCTGATTTTGTTGGTAATAAATTAACATCCCCACATCGAGCCTGTTTGCCCTTAGGTATTTCTTGAGTGACCTCCCCCTGTCCTTATCTCAACTCATTAACTTTGTTACATTTTCTCTTCCCTGTCCAGCTGAGAAGGCGGATGACAGATCAGCTTTGGTGGGTGCCTGGCATCCAGCCAGGGTCAGCCCACAACACACCGTTAAAGTTTGCAGGATGCATGTTTATCAAACACTGTACTGAAATAAACTCCAAGGACCGCCCAATTTATATTTTATGCCTGTGTGTTAAGATAGAAAAGACTAGTGCATAAAATTAAAGTGGAGTAAAAGCTGAACCAGAGGCTAATTGGCAAAATAAACACAACACATTCGCTGTTCTCAGCCAGATAAGTCACATTTGCATCATTTGATAAGTGCAACAGCCAATTTCCTTCCAGTTTCCTTAAACGTTAAAAACGCCTCTTGAAGAAACCTCCTTGAGGCCTGGCCCCACAATTTTGCAACCGATTTGAAGGTAGCTCCTCATATCCATGAGGGTACCCACCTAATTTCTAATGCCTCAAAAACTTTAGGCTGCATCTTTCATGGATCAACAACAACTCTTTCCTTAAAAAAAGAAAAAAAAAATTCTTATTAACTTTTACGATAAGGGTGAGAAAACAACTCTAGACAGGCCTTAGGTTTCAACGCCAAATTATGTCCAATTTTCCATAGTCCCCAAAATGCGAACCACCACCTCCACCGCCCCGATTCTGCTGTTACGTGAGTGCCAGTGGCCCCCGCGGAGCGCCGTCCGTGTTCTCCGTGGGGACCGGGGGTCCGGCACCGCACCCCGCTGCTTTCCGCGGTCCTTGTTGGTCCCGGCGATTCCCGCCGGCAGCCGCACCCCGCGCCGGGGTGACCCGAGGCCGCTCCACCCGCGGCCCTCGGCCCGCGTCCATCCCAGCGCGGAGTCCCCGCACCCAAAAATGTGCTCCCCGCCGTGCACACCCGAGTCCAAGCCCGCGGCGAGGCCGCGGAGCCTCCGGTCCGCGCTCCGGGGCCGGGCCGGGCCGCGGGCCTGGAGGCGCGCGGGGGGGCTCGCCCGGCATGGAGGGGTCGGGCGGGGAGGGGGTCCCGGGGCACCGCTGCGCTCCGCGGACGCACGCCGAGCCCCGGGCAGCGCAGCGCGGCCGAGCCGCGGCGGAGGCGGCGGCAGGAGGAGCCGCGGGACCGAGCGCCGCCGCGCCGCCCCCGCCCCGCCGCCCCGACCGCCGCCTCGCCCGCCCCGCACAGGCCCCCGGCCCGCTCGGCCGCACCGGCCCCCGCGGGCGGGCGGGCGGACGGCCCGAGGCGGCGGTGGCGGCGCGCTCCCTTCCGCCTGCTCCTAGGCTCTCTCGGGCAGTGACGTGACGTGCTGACGGCGGGCCCGGCCCGGGGAGCTTGGCCGCTTCCACTCAGCTCCGAGCTCGGCCCCTCCCTCCCCTCCCGCCCGCCCGCCCGCCCCGCCGCAGCCGCCGCCGCCGCCGCCGCGCTCGGCCCAGTCGCGCTGAGAGAGGCCGCGCCAAGCGAGCGCCGCCGCCCGCCACCCGCACGGTAAGAGCCGCGGGCCGGGCCCTGCCGCCCGCCCGGCCCGGGCCTCCCCCTGCCCGCACAGGCCGCGGCGCAGGCCGCGAGGAGGCCGCAGCTAGGCCGCGCCAGGGCTCCGCCACAGGAGCGGGCCGCGGGCTCTGCGCCGGCGGGTCCCGCACGCCCAGCGCGGCCCGGGGCGGCGGGGGAGGTGGCGTGAGGAACGCGGAGTGGAGGTGGGTGGCTGCGGGCCCGGGGGGAGGCGAGTTGGGCCGGTGAGGGGCCGCGGGCCCGGCCGGGGGGGGCTCGGAGGTGTCTGGAGGAGGAGACAAAATGGCGGCGCGCGGGGGGGGCGGAGGGTGCCGGCGCCATCTTGAATTAATCGCTCGCACAGCCGGGGCCCCGCGCGGGCCGGGCCGGGCTGGGCCGGGCGGGGCGGGGGAGCCTCGGGGCTCCGGCAGGGACCGCCCGCAGCCTCCACACCCTCCCCGCCTCCCGCTGCCACAGTGCCAGGCGCAGCGGAGCGAGGCGCGTTCCGGCTCGCCGCGGCTCCCTGCGCGGCCGCGCCGGGGCTGCCGGCCGGGTCCTCTCCTGCCCCGCCATATCCTTCCTCTCCTCCTGCCGGGGATTCAGGCGGCGCGGGCTCGGCAGCGCCGGGAGCTCTCCCGTCAGCCGCCTTCGCCCACTCGCCCTGTAAGCAGCCCCCTAATCCCTTGGGGCCCCCTTGGTGCTGGTTCAAAGGTGCGCCTGGGATCGGTCATTTCCCTAATTTAGGTTTCGTTAAGAATTAGCTTATTTCCTTTGGAATTACTGTCGTCTGGCACACAACATTCCAGTGAAATCTGGAGAAAACCCGTTTCTTTAACCGGTTTCTGCAGATACCCTACCACTGAACTACAACAAAGAGGGGAATGACTTGAGGTGTTTCGTTTTTTTTACGGAACTGCAGTGAGAACATCAGCACTGATTCCCCTGCCAAAACTGAGGGAGATGCGTCAAGAAATTAGCAGCTGAATGATCACATTGTTACAACGTCGTTTTTACACGTCGTTTTTAGTCTTCTGTTTCTTCACTTAGCGATAACGGGGGTTATTTTCAAGGCAGGAATGAAGTTCTCTAGGGAGTGTAGGGGTTTTTTTTGCCATTCCTATGTGTGCGACTGAGGACAGCGTGTGTGTGTGTGCCCTGCGTTCGCCACAAGTGGGTCACGTCAGGCGAGTTGTGACACTGCAGCGGCGGCGGGGACTGAGCCCGGAGCCGCCTCAGGAGCTCGGCGGAGCCTCGCTGGCTCGGGGCTCTGACCCAAATGGGACATGCCAGGCGTGCCGCAGTTTCTAATGGGATGGAGCAAGGCACGACGGGAGCGTGGCTGTGGCTGTACACTCAGTCATCCCAGCGTGGGTAGGGGCCAGCACTCGCACGTGGGGAATTTTGCTGCTTTATGGCTTGATTTGTAAGAGTTTTGCTGCTTGGATATTTGGTGTATGGCCTTACTGAAAACTAGGAGTAGGCTATGTGTTTCTTTTTCACAAGGATGGCTTTTCTGAAGTTTCCCCTTTTTTCTCCTTTTCCTTTTTCCCCATTTTCTTTTTTTTTTTTTTTTTTTTGGTGAGAGCAGAGAAACAGTTTCTGCAGAATATTTGAACCTATTTTAAGGAGCTCTGTTTTTAAAGTTGCTCCTTCTTTAAAACCTGACAGCTTGTCTATTTCATTTTATTTCATCTTGATTACCTTCGTAGGTCTGTTGAGTCAAGGATCTCTAATGTAGCAGTGCACTGTCTGCATTGCTTTTCTTGACTGATTGTTCTCACTATATTTTTTATTTTGGAAGATTATTGCGTATATAGTATTACCATTTCTTCTATTAATATGTAATTTTCCATCTGTCCTTCCACTTGAAAATGTTACCTTGACTTCCATAAAGCCAAAACCAGCCAAGTCTCTGAGTAAATAGGTAAAAATCAGTTTGTAAAAACTAACTGTATGGACAGAATTAAGTGTATTACAGAGTTGTATTAGTTCTTGATCCATGTGAAGCTGGCATGGACCCAAGCCTAGTAGATGTTTAGCTCTTTTCAGAGGTTATAAAACCTGATTTTGGATGCTTCTGATTTTTTTTTTTTGTCCCAGTGGTAGAAGAGTGTTATGAGAATTTCTGAGATTTGAACAAAGAGACACACAGTTGAGAAGGACCAAGTGTAGGGACATGGCTGGGCACCAGCTTTTCTTTGAGAATTTGGGTTCCCAAGATGGAACTGAAAAATTGATTCTGTTGGCTTTGATGCCAGAACTGGGTCTTGAGGTAAATGTCATCTAGAATGTTTTGGAGGACTGAGAGGAGTTTCTGTCCTTCTTGAAATCTTGCAGAAAAGTGAACAGCTGGAATTGCTTCCTAGCCTTTATGGTACCACAGAGCTTGGGGTGCTTGCCAGGGCATTGAAGGTGTTCTCTGTGGTGCTTGCAAGAAGCAGCTCTGGTATTTCTGGTGTCACAGAGCTGCTGTTACAGGTACAGAGCCTTGTGGTGTTCCTTCCTTTGTGTGGCTGCATCTTGTGCTCACCCTCACCCTCTGCTCAGAAGAGCAAGCAGGAAGAAACTGTGTTTTCTCATCTCGTGGTTAGAATGCTCAAACCCTGAAGTGTTTTCAGGAATCTTTTTATATTTTTTTTTGCCTCAGCCATAGACAAGTTACTTTATGCCTTTTTGGATTGCAGATTCTGATTTGGACACTTATTATTTCAGATAGTTCAGTTAATTCCTGTTTTAAGTGCCTGCATCCTCTTTTGGTCATCTTGCAGCAAATTTATGTGGATGTGGGTTCTGTGCCCTTGTGGAGCACTTCCAAACTCTTTATGGTCCTGTACAGGGGTGAGAGTTGGCTGGGTCTGTATGCTAAAGTGCATTTTGAGAAACATTATTTAGTAAGAGGAAAAAAAAAAAGAAAGAGAAAAAAGGAGGAAGCATTGAAATTTCTTTCTACTCTGGAACAAGCACCAAAGCAAATGTTGGTTGCCTTTTTAAGACTCAGACTTGAAAGCCATTTGCCAGGAAGTGTCTTTGGTTTGTTGGAGCCTGAGCCTTTGTTCTGAGCACATTTTGCCATTGTAGGTGAGAAGACCTGACCAGTGCAGGAGAGGCCGGAATTATGTGGTGTGCTGGGCTATTGCTGCTGTGAAACTGCAGCTCCTGAACACACAGGGATATTTTGGGTTTAGAATCTGTTGCCCAGAATCCAGAAAACAAGAAAACCAGGGAAGAAATGGTGTCAGTGTGCACTTACAGGAAGCTGGGAAGTAGTGATGGAGACCTCTGCATCTCATGGGTGAAGAGGATAGACAGAAGGACAGTGAAAGACTGTCTCACTCAGTGATGTGAGGAATTTAGGGAGCAGATAGGATAGAGAAAGTACAGGCATGAATCATAAGGAGTAGGAATTTGTGGTGCAGTGGTCAGGTAGGTGGTGAAAGCAGGAAGCAGAGGAAATGAATGCCAGTTCTTCAGGTGGTGAACTGACACTTCAGGCTGCTCAGGTCGCAGCAGATGGCAGGCTGATGTGCATGATAATGCAGCCCTCAAAAGCACAGGCACAAAGGGCATCTGAACTTTTCCCAGAGATCAGGACAGACAGCTCCATCTTCCTATGTGTCTGTAGTCTGAGGAGAGAGGCAGTTTTATTTCTGCCAACCCTTAGTACCCCTTTGCCTCCTACCAAAAAAACCCCTCCTAATTGCTAATACAGTCTTTGCTACAAATTGATGAGTAGCAGAGGTTTGTGTGAGTGATGGGAGGGTACTGGAGTTAGAAGATGGAGGGATGAAATGGTCAGGTGATGTAATGAACATGATATTGGTGCAGGCACACCAAAAGTTGGAAAAGAAGCAACAGAAGAGAAGAAACTAAACAGTGAAGGCAGCACAGAAAACATGACAAGATGAATAGGAAGGACATTGGTAGTAGACTGGATGGGTATATACCAAAGAGATGGGAGGAAAGCAGTTTGGGTATGAATAATTCTTGCTGGAATTACTGTATGGGATTTTGTTACTCTTCTTGTTTCTGTGGCATAACAGAAGTTGATTGCCATCAGTCAAGCTATTTCTTGCATCTGAGGCTGAAACACTTTTCTTCTGCTCTTGGTTCTGAAAAAAAGCATTGGGTGAAGAGCTGTTCCTCTCCATGGTGGGCACTTCTGTTGGCAGTGCTTGACAGAATTACTGGAAGGCAATTTATGTCCAGTTGGATACCACAATAACTTGTTAGCACAGCTGTCTTTTGAATACAGAGGCCTTCCAGCTGAGCATCACACAAATACAGAACACCTTGGAAAATTATTAGTGTTCCACTATTTTTCTTCCAGTTCAATGTCTGCCTATATTTCTCCCTCAGCTTCTGTAAAAGAGAAGGCCCAAGTGACTGCACTGGAGGCTGGACGATACCCCAACAGAGAGTCCCAGAGGTGAAGAGTTGAGAAAATTTGAGCTAAAAAGTGGAGCAAGTTTAGAAAATACTTGTTCTAGATTATGGGTTTAGATTTGTGTTTTGGACTAGTTAATTTTTTTTGTGTAGCAGTTTCCCTGATAAAGCCCTAATGAATGTAAATGTTAGTTGATGTAATTTGGAAAGGTTATGATTCTTACGGAAACCTTGGGTAGACTCTTGATGTTTTGTCTGTCTTTTGTGAAAGTATCACAGAAATGGGGAGCTTTCTGCTTGTGACTGTGAGAAATGTTTGGAGGAGGAAAAAGAACATTTCCACTTCTACAGAAATACAAGCAGAAACATGAAGCAACATTCTGTTGCCTTTTGCTCGTTCTCCATGTAGGAAAGTAGTTGGACTTCAGTGCAAGGGAGTAGTACAAGTTTCTGTTAGACTGCATTTTACCTAACTAGGTTTGCCTGATCCTACCTGTAATGCACATATCTAAGCAGCAGAATTTAGGTTGCAGTTTGACATTTTTGCAGGTATTTTAATTTTGTGGTCTTGTTTAATTCTTTCATTAAGAAGACTGAAATCCTGAGTCAATATGCATTGAAATGTTGACATGCTGTTCAAAAGTTTTGGTGTAGAACATGACATTTGGTAACTTTTGAGAACTAACTTGTGATACTTAGGGTACTTTGTCTTAGGGCAAGAGTTTTGAAAATATTTGCAGATCTAGGTTTTAAAACGTTTGATGTTATGCTCTGGAAGCAGTTTACAGTGATGATTTCAGTTCCTGAAGTGACAAAGGAGTGAACTCTTCCTGACTGTCTAAGAATGAACATGAGGACATCAGAACTGGTGTGCATTTCAGATAATGAGCTCTCTGTGTTTAACTTATCATATTGAGCCTTAATGATTTCACAGTTCTGTATTCCTCCTCATCCAATAGGGACTTGAGTTCCTTGAGTGGGAATATGTTGGATTAAGGTTCTCACAGGAATATCTCTAGGCTTTGTCTTAATTTTTTTTTAAAGATGATAAGAAAATAATATTTTCACATTCCTTTATGAGCTGCTTCTGTGTTTGTGAAGCCATAGGGTTTTGAGAAAAATGGACCCAAAGTGTTGGACCTCACACTCTAGTTCAAACAGTGGGTGTTTGGTCATCCAGGGTATTATTGCTGGAATCCCACACTGAGGGACCCCGAGTAAAATCCAATTGATCTTAAAGTCATGAGGTGCTGTGTGTTAACTTCCATGCACCCAAAATGTCAACTTTTCCATGCACAGACAGAGGCAACCTTCTTCACCTAATACAGTGAAATAACCTTTCTTCTTTATCTTCTACAGACACTGTGACTGATGAGAGTTAAAGGCCATGGATGAAGATGGGCTTGAATTGCAGCCACATGAGCCAAATGCATTTTTTGATCCAACAGGTCTGTAAGGAGATAATACATAGATAAGAGTGTTCACATTTGATGCAATTGACTATTGTTTATTCTGCCTTTGCTTAGAAGTGCTGTGCTGCATCAATGCTTTTGTATAGAGATGTGGCTTTTGAGTTTGGGTTTTTTTTATTACTCACAGCAATATGAATGAGCTACTGTTCTTTCAGTCAAGTAATAGTTGTTTGGGTGTTGGGGGAGAGTCTAAAAATTGCAAATCTTTTTCAGGAGAGAAAATCTTGTTCATTTTAATTATGTTAGCATCTACTGAGGACTTGCTTTTATCTGTCTTAATAGTTCATATGCTGTTATGCTTGTTTTACTAAAGTGCAGCATAGAGTGAAAGTTGAAGGGAAACAGAAGTAATTTCAATTATTAACTACCTATATGAGACAGTTTTACAATTTAAGTGCTGTTTTAATTGTGTTTTTCAGGAGCTGATGCAGCACATATGGATGGAGATCAGATTGTTGTGGAAGTCCAGGAAACAGTGTTTGTTTCAGATGTGGTCGACTCAGATA